GGGGGGGGGGTCCTGGGGCAGAACTGTGGGGTAGCAACATGCCATGGAGATACTGCTTGTGTCACCCCTCACCCCCATGAGGAGCCACCAGGGGTCACAGGGCTGGGACCCCTTGGCACGGGGCCGCCCGCAATGGGGCTGAGATGGGGTTGTTCCTCCCCACCGGTGACCCTTAACCCTGCGGTGTTTACCCAGGCACAGCCCCCCAGCCCAGGGGCGGGGGCTGAGCAGGGGGATAAAAGGACCTGAAGTCCTCAAAGAGGCACCGCAGTCTTCAGTTCTGCTCTGGTGAGGGGCTGCGGGGTGGGATTGCGAGGCGGGTGGGCAGGATGGGGCTGGGGGGGGGGACAGGGCTGTGGCGTGGAACGGGGCCATAGGGTCAGATGGGGCTGCGGGGCGGAATGGAGCCGTGGGGCACAGGTGGGAGCAAGGCAGGGGTTGTGGGGTGGCTCCGGGGCAATGGGGTGGGCTGTGGCCCACCAATATGGGGCGCAGCCCCCTGGAAAGGGGACGGTGCCCCATGGCCACCACCACCCTCAGCCACTGCCATGAAACGTCTGTGGGTCGCGGCGCTGCTGCTGCTCTGTGTGTGCCATGTGGGGGCCGCGGCCGTGCCCCAAACCGAAGACCCCCCGGAGACCCCCCCAGACACCACCACCCTCCTGAGCCGCCACTTCCAGACCCTGAGCGACTTCATCACCAAAGAGCTGCCCCAGCGCCTGCGGGCGGATGAGATCCAGCAGCAGGCCAAGTACGTGTGGGGCTGGGATGTGGGGCGGCCCCATAGGGACCCCCCCCTGAACTAAGCCCCCCTGTGTCCCACAGGGCTTATGCTGAGCGTGCAGAGGTGCAGCTGAGGCCTTTGGCTCAGGAGCTGCGCAGCAACGTGCTGGGGCTGTTCTCCTCCCTTCTGGATTTGGGGAAAATTGGAGGCACGGAGAAGGACCGAGCCCCATAGGAAGGGGACCGAGCCCCATAAGAATGGGGCTGAGCCCCACAGTGATGATACGGGGGGAATAAAGCATGGAGCTGCTGTGGAGCGTGTGTGTGTGTGTGTTGGGGATACGGAGCTGTGGGGTGGGTGGAGGGATGGGGGTTGTTGGGACGTGGGGCGCGTGGAGATGTGGGGCAGGGATGGGGGATATGGGGTGAAGGGA